CCAATCAAATCATGGGATGTCGCATTAAGATCGTAAGAATCGATGCATAAAATAGTGACTAAGTTGCAGCGATCCACCTTTTATCTTGGTTTAGTATATTTTTGCTTTATTTTATAACGTATGGATTCTTCAGTCTTCATTCCACTGCAATCTTCCTTCGGTTTCCCATCTGACCATTTCATGAATTTCTTCCAATCATTTTTTTCTTAAAAATGGAGGGTCATGTCCCAATAAGGAAGGAAATTATGCTTTTGATTGTGTAGATGCGAAGAATAATTGGGTTTCGTTGAACCACCTAATATATTATTTGATTGTAAAACCAGAATGTCAATGTTACTGTTAGGATATTAAAAGTATACTCACTCTATTTAAGGGCTAGTTGACAAGATGTTGTAGATGGCTGTATTGTTAACAGTTTATTCCATCTTGCCCTCTTTCTTAGATCCAGATCGCTTATTTGACCTTGTATCTTGAACTCATCTACCATCCCCCGCAGAAGCGGGACCCGAACCGTGAAGCTACAGGTCAAGAGACGGACATTTTGTTTAGCTTAGGTGAAAGAAACAAAGAAGCCAACTTCACTTCACACCATTTCCTGGGCAACTGCGCACAAATGTCTACAGCTAATCCAATGGAGAGACCGTAGAGTATATAGTGCCCCGATTTGAATCCCTCTCGAGTGGGAATGAGAAATGAGTCAAGACCGAACCCGAACTTATGGTTGGTCTTTAAACTACGAAACTAGTCTTTTTTATATTTCTTTCTTCAGGGACGAAGTCGCTGACAGTCCGACCAAAAGTCTCAGCAATGATAAAGCTGAGAGCAACTGGGAAACACACACTCTCCTCTAACAACTAAATTTATCTGTGGGAGAAAAATCATCATATTTGGCCCCATAGTATGCAGAGACCATTCGCGAATGCTGCGAAATGGATCATCATTCATTCATCAATCTGATGCATTTACAGCGATAGCTCTGAAGGCTAGGCTGATTGGACGACAGAAGCCTGTGGATGTGTTTCTGGATCCGCTGGAGGCTCATTTGTATAATATTTTCCCACTGGTGGCACTGATAGTCGCCTTAATCTCAAATAAGGTGCCAAAAAGGATGGAGATACTGCCTTGGCATAGCATCAAATGATAGGTTTGATGATTTTTACAAGGCATATACTGACCCTATTTTAATTTGCTGAATGCCAGTCAATTTGTAATAAATCATGAAATGGAGCACTAGTCAACCTAGGCCCTTATATCATCGTGAGAAAATTAATCGGTCAAAGCTTCTTGGGCTTATGTAACCTAGGCTGACAAGAACTCTTATCTTACGAAAAAGTTGTTGAATGTGACGAACTTTATGACAACCTCATCAAAACCGATTGGAAGTTTTCTGAATCGAGCTTAGCGATCCTCTGAAATGTTAGTCTTTTTCCTACACATGATTCGGTTATAAAGTTCAATGAAAGATAAATTTCCGAAAGTCGTTCGGCTTACAAAATGCTGGACTCACTTTGTTTTTGAGCAAGAGTGATTTGATTTTACTGGAACATTCTTGTTGGCGCTAGCCAGGAGACAATCTTCTTCGATGGTAGTGAAAAAGTGCCAAATTATCGTCCTTCAGATAGAAGACATCCTTGAAACAGGATATAACTCTTACAGGCATATTAGGGGCAACAAGTCCAAAAATGCTCACCAATTTATCCATAAATGCTGTGTATATACCTTAAATATATGCATTTTGATGATATATATAATAATTTGGTTGGTTCAAGTCATATGCCAATCTAGAGCATAACGGTATACCCGACGGTGCGTGCTCATGTTGCTTCGTGTACACGAATGTGATCAAAACCAGCAGTGGTGACCCAAGGTAATTAGGACGAAGTACGACATCTCTCCTCGGTCGTCAAGTTTTAATGACCCCCAGTTCTCTTTCTATTTTATCCATTATTCTGATCACTCAATGCCAGACGAACGTCTGGTTAAGTTAATGAGCTTCTGGTCTGTGCGTGAGAGAGAAAGAGTGATCAAGACCAAAGGAGATTCGCTCAGAAATTCTGGCGCAAACCAGAGTGTTCCAGAAGATCCAGACGACGCTTGACCGAAGGGATAGCCTCTTCATTTCACCCATTTTCCCAATGCACAATGGAAGTGAGTACAACACGCATATAGAATTCATGTAAAAGTGGATCCCTGCCCCGATTCCGTCCACCATGACGACAAATAGGAAGGAATGGAAAGAGCATGAACGTCCTAGAGACCGGATCTTCAGTTCTATTCTTGTATTCAGGCAGAACCGGCTTACCCCAGCCACGTGCGGGGCCTCGAACTCGCGCTCCTGCATCCAATCGGCCAACTGCCGGGCATAGCTGGTCCCCTCGCTCCACCGGCCCAACTCCAAGTCGACCGCGGTACAGCCGGCTTCCGACTCTCTGACACCCACCGGCACACCACGCTCCACGAGGCGCTGCATCACCAGAGCCGCCCAGGCCTGCTCGGTCATTCGGTTGTCTGCGATAGCGGTGCTGGGAGTGTACGGTCTCGAGGTACGCCGTTGCCGGCTGAGACATGCGACGAGGGCGGCCCGATGCAGCAGACTGCATCCACTCGGGTCACGCAAGCCGACCCCAGCTTGACTGGCCACCGTGAATTGTGTCCTCAACGGAACATGCGGCTGGAAAGCCCAGAAGGCGACGGGCCGACCTGAGGGGAATTGAAACAAAGCTACTCATAAGTAGTGTGCTCCCTATAATTGCCATAGGTCTCCCTGGCAGGCACAAGGTGGCAATCTAAGAATACCATGTATTCCGATACATTCTCCAAGCTGACCGCGCCGATGATATATCCAGAATCATGGTAGTATGTTAACTCACTAAAAAGCATAAGAGCTGTATTGAGCCCAATTCATATGGCTATACTCATATGAGACGAACTCAAGAGCAGGCTTCACCCATTAAAAAAATATTGTGAGAGTTTTGATAAACCAAACTTGTATCTTACCTATACAAGCGACAAAACTAC